TGGAATGAGGGTTATAGGAATGCCAGAATAGCATGCCCATTATTTAAAAATATATTTTGAAATTACAGGCACATTTAAAGACATGGAATTGCTATTTTTGGATACTTTCAGTATCCTGAAATAGCCCTCCTGTCTAGACGTAGTCTTGTAGAGCAGGATAAGAGGTCATTTATAGTCTTGAAGAAAATCTATTGTTCTGTAACTTTAAGGGTGCAAAAAAAATGGTGGATCCCATAATATGAAGATGTCCCTATAATTTTTGCTGTGGTCTGAAATGGTATGTTCTAAACTATTGACTTTTTTTTTTAAATGGCCTTTATCATTGAGAAGATACAGCTGATAAACTGGCTGATTCTTATGCCAGAAAAAGGTCATTATGGTCATCTAGTGTGATTTCCTGCATAACACAGACCAAAGAACCTCACTCATTAAATCCTGCATCAAGTCCACAACTTCTTGGTGAGCTAAAGCATCTTGCTTACAAAGGCATTTGGTCATGACCGAAGACTTTAAGAGATGGAGAATCCATTACAGACCTTGGGATATCTCGGCTATCCCAATGCACTGTGCAGGGAAAAAGGGGACCAGAATCTACGGGGCAAAGCAGGTGGAGAGGGAACAAGGATCTCATACAAAGCTGTAAAGCTTCTCTGGGTCTTTCTGCACCAACTTGAGTGATCTTGATTAAAGCAGAAATAGAACAGCAGGAAGCTAAGATACCACTGTGTCCCATATAATCTGGATTTGAAATTAGGCCTCAGTTAATAGAAAGTGATAACTATTTATTAAGGAAATGATAGTCTGGGGGCTTTAAGCTTTTGCACCACCACCCGACATAGAAATTCAAAATAACAATATTTGAAACTGCAATGTATATTTTTAAAAAATCAATTACTTTCCAATGACTGAGTGCCATAATAAAACTAAAGTACAACAAGGCTTCACATAAGGCAAGTCATTTTTCAGCTATATGAGCATTAATGAAACATCTCTCCCTATTTTTTTAAATATTATAAATTTTATGGATGCTTTGTTCTTAATGACTCTTAAAACCCTTTTTTTCTGTACTGAATTCAAAGAAGTTCATCTTCTACCACAGTTATTTAAAAGACCTTGTGACTTGCAATTGGGTTTTTTTCTTTCTGATGTAGCTTCCTTTATGTTTTAGTTAAGTCCATAATGGTTGGTGGAATCTTTGTTTCTGGGTATCTGTACAGATTTTGTTTTGATAAACCATGAGTCAATTTACAAGATACTACTGTAGATATCTATATTGTTATTTTTAACAGTATATCACACATGATCTTGTGCTTTATTATCTGTGATATATCACATACATAAACGTCTCAAGCCAGCATCCAGTTAGTTTTGAACATGCTCAGAGCACAGCAAAAAATTCTGTGTGTGACATCTGTAGCACTGATAAATGTGGTTTATATTTGTGATGACAAATTACTTTCCATTTGGCTTGCTCCGAAAATAAGGAGTAAAATCTTCCTTTTCTGGCCAGGCCATTTCATGTTACTGTAGTCTGATGTGCCAGCATTTCTGTTTTGAACTTCCTACTCCAAGTGGTTTACAGTTGAATTAACTGTAAACTCTCACTCAACGCAGAAACTAAAGATATTAGGTGTTAACAAAATCTGAGGTGGTTATTTCACATCAGGAATCCTAATTTTTAAGTGAGTAATTTCCCCTTTAAATATCCCTTTAATTTTCAAAAATTCTGAGCCTGCTTTAAAAAACCCAACCATTGTTATCTTGAAGGCACATCTCCTATTCTCCTAAATGAATGACGAATTGTACAGTACTTGCCCTATTGTAACCCTTCATGTTTGTTCTTTGTCTTCATTTAAGGTTCCATTTGGACTAACCTGTATGGCTGCATTAGGGCTGCCCAGACCATTGCTCCCCTTAGCAGCCAAAACTAAAAAGCTCCCAGCTGCTCCCAGGGAGAAATCGGACAAGGAGTAGGTGGACTCTTGGATGCATGTACCTCTTTGCCCCCCTCCCCTGTGCACAAAGGAATAAACCTCACCCTGAAAAAGACTGGAGTAAGTGATTGTCTTCCCGGTGTTTTCAGAGGCTACGTCTAGACTGTAGAGCGTTTCCGGGATACTGGCGGTATCCCAGAAAAGCTCTGCTGCGTCCAACGAGTAGTTTCTGAAAAAAGCAGATGTGTTCTTTCGGGTTCCCTGTATTCCTCTGAGGCTAGGTCTACACTACAAGGTTTTTGTGCAAGAACTCGGAGCGTCCACACCTCAAGCGCATTTTTGCGCAAGTAAAACAAAAGAACAGAGGGGGTTTTCCGGTGTAGGTATTCCTCCTCCTATGAGGAATAACTCTCTTTTGCGCAAGAGTTCTTGTACAAAAAGGCATGTGTGGACAGGCAACAAGTTTTTTTGTGCAAAAACAGGGAAGAGGAAAAAGCACAGGTGCCCTGGTGGCCATTCTGTGGATAGGTATCAGCGCTTTCTTTTGAGAGCGCGTCCATGCAGTGTGGACGCTCTCTCATGTAAATGCGCATCGCTTTGTTGATGTTCTTTTGCAGTGTGGACACTCTCTTGAACAAGAAGTTTTTGGCAGAAGATCTTTTGTGTATATTTTTCCGACTTTTCTCTGCAGTGTAGACATAGCCAGAGTGTCTTAGCCTCATTATGCTTCTCGAAAGCCCAGTGCCTCCTGTGGTGGTGCAGCTACACAATGCCACAACTCAGGGCTATGCAAGCACTTAAGTAGGGGTATATCTACACAGCAAAGGTATTTCAAAATAACAGCCCTTATTTCGAAATAACTTTCCTAGTGTCTACACAGCCAAACCGCTATTTTGAAATAAATTTGAAATAGAGTGCTTATTTTTAATTTGGTAAACCTCATTCTATGAGGAACAATGCCAAATTCGAAATAGCTATTTCAAAATTAGTGCTGTGTAGACACTTCTTTCGAAATAGGGGGCCTCCAGCCTTCCCAGGGAGCCCTCCAGCCTCCACCAAGAACGCTCTACTCCCTCCCCACCTCCCCAGAGCCCTTAAAGGGGTAGAATCTGGCCACTGTGCCTGTGCCAGCTCCAAGCCTGCCAGCCCAGAGCCAGCAGTCACTGCCCCGACCCAGTGGCCCCAAAACATAAGCCAACAAGCCACTAGCAGCCAGACCTCCACCGCTCTCCAGGAGCAGTCTGCCAGCTTCCAGGAGCCTGCCAGGGCCCGGAGAAGATAAGCGCTTTCCTGGTCCAGGGTGGAGATGATGGACCTTATTCAGATTTGGGGGGGAATAACCCCAAAGTCCATGATCTCTACACTAGATGGAGGAACGCTGCAGTCTATGGAAGGATAGCTGCCAGCCTGGCCACCAAAGGCCACATGGGAACCCAGGAGCTAAGTGGAAGGACGAGAGGGAGGAATGAGGCACAAGCACCCAGTGGGGCACACCAGGGAGGCTCTTAATGCTCCTCAGGGTGGAAGCTCTCCCGCAGGGCCTCCTGGACACTGACAGCCCCCCGATGGACCTCCTGGATGGCAGCCTGCAGAAAGTGCAGCCAGGCTCGCAGCAAGGCATCCAAGGGAAGCACCAGAGTGCTCAGGAGAAGCTCTGGCTCCATGTTATAGAGTTCTGTGGTGTCCCAAGTGAGGGCAACCAGAGCATGCAGAGATAAAATACTTTGGTGTCCCTCATCGAGGTAGACAAGCAAGCAGGGAAACCTGAGAACTGGCTGTCCGGGGGGGGGGCCATTTAAGCACAGACCTCAGATAGCCTCAGGCAGCAGCCCCACACAGTAAGTCCTGACCTGGTGCCCTGCCGGAACTGGTTCTGGCTGGCCTTAAATGCGATTCAGAGTCCACTCAGTGTGGATGCGCTATTTCGAAATAGCAAAATGGTATTTTGAAATGCATTTTGTGTGTAGATGCTTTATTTCAAAATAACTATTTCAAAATAAGGTATTTTGAAATAACACTGTAGTGTAGACGTATCCTATGCGTTTTGACATCAGTATGACTACTCACATGCTTAAATCAAATCATACATGGACTTTTCGAGACCAGAGCTAAAATATACAATCTCACCTTTATTATGTGCAGTCTTTGGGACAGGAAATTCAGCTTTATTTATTGTGCATATTTATGGCACCATAAAAGTAAATAATAATAGCAACCATTTTTGTTCCATTTGAAAATATTGTTACTGTGGCCATTGTAGACGTAGTTTGCAAAATTCCTGTTTAGTGCATGGAAGTGACTAATCAGAGAAGCCATATTGTTTGCCCAAACAGGTAATTTGTCATTTCTGCTGCTTATCTTGTATATGCTCCATTGTTCTGACTGAAAGATTTTACATGGAAAGAAATCACTGTAAATATTATTAACATTTATTCATATTTTAAAAAGTAACCTAATGAGGCATATTCATAACTGTAAACTATGGGATAGCAGCATAAACTCTGCAGAAGATCCAAAAGAGCAAGTTGAAAAGAAAACCCTGTGCATCAAAAAGGAAAAACTTGTTTAATGTTCCTGTGAATAGGTCTCATCTTACAGGAGCTATCGTATATGGATAAGTCTCATGATAATTCTAAATGGATACAGTCTGCTTTGAGGCTTATAGATGCTCCCATCCATCAAAAATTTCACCATTATTTCCCAGCACAATGAAATTTTAAATCTGGATGTACCCTGCATGCCAAACTTTCTCTGATATAAACCTCTTTTCCTCATTCATAACACTTATGCTGCGGAGCATGTGAATGTAGATATCCAGTGAGTACTTTATTTTCTACCATGCTAGAATATAAGTGAAGTCCCACTTAGTGATGTTCACCCAGAAGGGTGCTTACAGGAAATTTTCCTTCTGCCTTGATGATGTATTCTGCACTCAGAATTCTTTCATGCACTCTGATTTAGAATTTCCTCCCACTTTGTTACAGCTCACTGTGTAAATCAGCGGGGTGGTCCCACAAATGCAGAGAAAAATGAGATTTGGGAGACAAACTGAAAAGCAACAAAATCTCACGCTTGCTTTTAACAATCAACTGAATTCCAATGAGGTCCAGTGGGGAAGAGATGTATATGATTAAGACTTAGCCACTCAGCAACTGGGAAAGACAAGTCTCTAAATATTTAATGCTTACAGCTGTACTGCAGCTGGCAAAGCATCTCATTGTAAAACATATTTAATATTTAGAGTCACTCAGCAACTTGTTAAGTAACTTCACATTAGAGCCCTGAGAACCTTAAAATACCTTGTCTGGTGAGCATGCTCTATCTACTAAAAAAAAAAAAAAAAAAATCCTGGAGGCTCACAAGCCTAGGTCAGTTTTTTTTTAAAAGCCCTAGGCTTTCAGGCCAACATTTTGTACTTTCTAATGAAAAAGTCCTACAGAATGTAACGGGTGAAATTTACAGGGTGCTACGGTATAGGAATTGTTCTGAACAAATAATATAACTCAGGACAGAATTATAGCTTTGCTAATAGAATTGCCTAATTTGGCTTAAGGATTCAGTAGAAAGGTTATCATTATATAGAAAGTTGTTTGAAATTTTTGCTTTAGGAGTACAGAAGATACTCTAAACTTATGGGTAAAGGCACCTGGACTGCAAATACGAAAGACTGGATCACGTGCTCATGAAATCAGTGCAGCGATATTGATTCCAGCGAAGGTTCTTGGCCCTTGAAAATGATCTAAGCATAAAAAAGGAGACCTATAAAAATACAAAGGATGAATGTAAATAATCACAAGTATGTAGGGGCAAAATTAAAAAGGCAAAGGCACAATGACCTCATTCTAGCCAGAGACATAAAGGGTAACAAGAAAACATTCTACAAATCCTAGAATCCTAGAACTGGAAGGGACCTCGGGAGATCATCATGTCCAGTCTCCTGCCCTCACGGCAGGACCAAGCATCATCTAGATTATCCCTGGCAGATGTCTATCCAACCTGCTCTTAAATATCTCCAGTGATGGAGATTCTACATCAACCTCCATAGGATTTATTGCAAGCATTTAACCACCCTAACAGGCAGGAAGTTTTTCCTAATGTCCAACCTAAACCTCCCTTGCTGCAATTTAAGCCCATTTACTTTTTGTCCTCTCATTAGAGGCCACGGAGAACAATTTTTTGCACAAAAAGGTATGTGTGAGCAGGGGACAGGGGTTTTTTTGTGCAAAAAGAGGCAATCGAAAAAAGCCCTGGTGGCCATTCTGTAAATAGCAATCAGAGTTTCCTTTAGAGAGAGCGTCCATACAGTCTGGATGCTCTCTTGCGCCAAAGCGCACCACATTTTTGATGCACTTTTGCAGTGTGGACACACTCTTGCAGAAGAAGCTTTTTGCGGAAGAGATCTTCTTGCACAAGAAGCCTGCAGCGTAGACATAGCCTCAGAGAACAGTCAGTTATGCACTCACCTTTTAGCCGGCCCATCTACATTGAATTTCCCTAATTAATTGATAAGAATGCTTTACTAAAGTCTACGTATACCACATCTACTGCTTCCTGAATCTGGGGGCCAATTCTGTACTTTCATGTTAGTCATTCAGACTTGCAGTAGTTTTCAAACTTTTTGTATTGGTGACCCCTTTTACACAGAAAGTCTCTGAAAGCAACCCTCTTTGACAATAAAAACACTATATATGACTAACTATTTTAAATGCTAAATTTATATTCCAGTTGTTTAAAATTAATTTACCTTTTCACACCACTTTTAAATTAAGGCTAAATGATATTTTTTTCAAAATATTGTTATAAGCAGAAAAGGCTTTGTCTAGGTTACTGGGGGGAGGACATGAAAAAACTTTGTCAACACCACTTTTCACAGCAAACCTAGTACAGGCAGTCCCCGGGTTACGTACAAGATAGGGACTGTAGATTTGTTCTTAAGTTGAATCTGTATGTAAGTCGGAACTGGCGTCCAGATTCAGCCGCTGCTGAAACTTGAAAGATGTCTTTTCCTTGTAGCCTCTGAGTTAAGCAAACCATAGCTTGTGAAACTGGATATTCCCCCCAGATAATTATTTTTTATTTTTAAATCTAGAATAACCCCTTATTAGTTTAATGTAACTGCCCCAGAAATAAACTATTCCACTTTTGGTATAAGAAGTCAGTAAACATTTTGCTGCCTCTAACATTTTGTCACTATGGGTAACTACCTGCTTTCCTTTTACAGAAAAGGCTTCTTATGGTATCATGACATGGGCATGATAAATTATTACCCCAAACAGCTGAAGCATGTCAAGGATTTGTTTGGAGGCATCTTTAATTTTATTCAATTTAGTACCTGTAAATGATGTCATATTTTCAATGTTCTAAGCTGTCACTTTTTATCCACAGAATAGATACAGCATATTTGAACCCAAAAGGGTTTCCTAAATACAGGCAGTCCCCGACTTACGCGGATCCGACTTATGTCGGATCCGCAATTACGAATGGGGCTCGCCCCGGAGGACACGGACTGCGGGACCTCGCGGTCCTGCCGCCCGTGTACTCCGGGGCTTTCTCCGCGTCTCCCTGGTCTACAGACCAGGAAGACGCGGAGCAAAGCCGCGGTGGGGCTCGGGCAGCGAGGCAGCCCAGGCGTGCCTGGGCTGCTCCGCTGCCGGCTTCCCCGAGGCTTTGCAAAGCCGCTTTTTCTGAACTTGGGGGTTCTAATTTGTCAGCAGTTTAATGCAGCTCCACAGCTACTGAGCAGCAAATTCTCTAAAGTGATCTCAGTCCCAGGGACAGCCTTAGGGAAAATGGCACCGGGAGCAAACACTTATTTTGACACCCTTTCCTGGGAAGAAAAATCATTCTGGATGGGCTCCGGCTTCCAGCCCAACCACATGTGAAGCACTGCCATATGCTCCCACATAATAACCTTGTGTGATCTCCTCAATTGATCTTGGACCAAATTCAAACCTGTTCCCCAGCAATTTTCAAAGTGGCAAAACTATTTGCAGCATATTGTTTGTCAGTAGTGGAATTCTGTATGCTTCTTCGCTCTCTCATTTATCAAACTGCCTCTTCAGTCTTCAAATAAATAAAAGGGGGGAAAAAACTAAAGATGATCCTGAAAAAGAAAATGGTCCTTTCAACTCCAGAAAAGCTTGAAAGCATGGGTATTTTTTTGTGCCTGAAAGAGCTAGATGCTAAATTTATGAGCAAATCATTTTGACCAGCTAATATGTGCTTCAGATACAGCTGCAAACACCCAGGTAAGTGCTGTATCTTCAAAGCGCGTAACCATCATGAAGCAAATGAAGAGACTGACTGCCAGCTTGCACAAATTTACATGACCACTTACATTATCATCCAGTCATTTCCTGCACTACTTTTTTAAATGGGAACCATCAATGGTTACTAATGGACAGTGTCAGTTGCACTTCTGCTCAGCTCATGGCTACATGCTCCCTAAGAAGTCATTAGCATATCTAAGAATGTGCTTTCACTGATGCTCTCAGCTCAGAGTACCCAAGATCATGTGTGGGGATATTTATGTGTAATGAGTTTACAGAACTGTGTAGAAGAGAACATATGTTTATTTGATATATCTAAATGTGTTCCTGCTTCTTCTCCTCCTCTCTTCACCTGTTCCATGTCCCCAATTTCTGATATCTCCTACTTTTAATCAGTTTATTACAGTGGTAACAGTTTGTTTTTGGGGTGTGTGCATGTGAGTTTTCTCCCATGATTGCTCATAATAGGCATCACAGAAACTTGGTGGAATGAGGACAATGAATGGCATATCCTCAAAAAATGAGGAATAACGTTAGTTTGAACCAAGGGGTTTGATTCGAACTAACGCGTCCCAGAGCACACTTCCTGGTTCGAATCAGCTGGCGAGTGGAATAGCGTGAGGGCAAATTTATGCTAATGAAGCACAGATATTTAAATTCCCGCTTCATTAGCAATTTCAGTCGGCTACACTTGCATCCCTAGTTCAAACTAGGGAGCAAGTGTAGATGTACCCATATTGACTGGGTACACATCACCTCAGGATGGGATGCAGAGATAAAATTTCCTGATACCTTAAATGACTGCTTCTTGGAACAGCTGGTACAGGAACCCACAAGGGGAGAGGTAATTCTTGATTTAGTCTAAGGAGAGCGCAGGAGCTGGTCCAAGAGGACTGCTTAGAAATGGTGACCATAATGTAATAAAATTTAACATCCATGTAGTGGGGAAAACACCTCAGCAGCCCAACACTGTGGCATTTAATTACAGAAAGGGAAACTACACAAAAACAAGGAGGTTAGTTAAAGAGAAATTAAAAGGTACATTGACTAAAGTAAAATCACTGCAATCTGCATGGAAACTTTTCAAAGATATTATAATAGAGGCCCAACTTAAACATATACCCCAAATTAAAAAACACAGTAAGAAAGCCAAAAAAGTGCCACTTTGGCTTAACAACCAAGTAAAAGGAGCAGTGAGAGACAAAAAGGCATTGTTTAACTCCAAGTGAGGAAAATAGAAAGGAGCATAACTCTGTCAAACTAAGTGTAAAAATATCATACGAAAAGCCAAAAAGGAATTTAAAGAGCAGCTAGCCAAAAATTTAAAAAGTAATAGCAAAATGTTTTTAAGAACATCGGAAGCAAGAAGCCTGCTAAACAACCAGTGGGGCACCTGGATGATCAAGATGCTAAAGGAGCACTCACAGATGGTAAGGTCATTATGGAGAAGCTAAATGAATTCTTTGATTCAGTCTTCACAGCTGAGGATGTTAGGGAGATTCCCAAACCTAAGCCATTCTTTTTAGGTGACAAATCTGAGGAATTGTCAGATTGAGATGTCATTAGATGAGGTTTTGGAACAAATTGATAAACTTAACAGTAACAAGTCACCAGGACCAGATGGCATTCACCCAAAAGTTCTGAAAGAACTCAAATGTGAAATTGCAGAGCTGTGGTTTGGAACCTATCCTTTAGATCAGCTTCTGTACCTAATGACTGGAAGATAGCTAATGTGACACCAACATGTAAAAATGGCTCCCGAGGTGATCCTGGCAATTACAGACCATTAAGTCTAATGTCAGTAACAGGCAAATTAGTTGAAACTATTGTAAAGTATAGTATAGTATATTGTCAGACACATAGATGGATATAATTTGTTGGGGCAAAGTCAACATAGTTTATGTAAAAGGAAATCATGCCTTACTAATCTGCTAGAGTTCTTTGAGGGGGCCAACAAACATGTGGACAAGGGGGATCCAGTGGATATAGTGTACTTATATTTCCAGAATGCCTTTCACAAGGTCCCTCAACAAAGGTACTTAAGTAAAGTTAGTTGTCATGGGATAAGAGGGAAGGTCCTTTCATAGACTGATAACTGGTTAAAAGACAGGAAAAAAAGGGTAGGAATAAACTGCAAGTTTTCAGAGTGGAGAGAAGTAACTAGTGGTGCCCCCCAAGGGTCCATACTGGGACCAATCCTATTCAACATATTTATACATGATCTGGAGAAAGGGGTAAACAGTGAGGTGGCAAAATTTGCAGATGATACCAAACTGCTCAAGACAGTTAAGACCAAAGCAGATTGTCAAGAGTTTCAAAAAGATCTCACCAAACTGAATAACTGGGCAACAAAATGGAAGATGAAATGTAATGTTGATAAATGCAGAGTAATACACTAGAAAAATAATCCCAACTATACATACAATATGATGGGGACTAATTTAGCTGTACCTACTCAAGAGAGAGATCTTGGAGTCATTGTGCATAGTT